TCCGGTTCGAGCCAAGAACCAAGGTTTTGTGCAATGGGGGCTTGAAGGATTCAGGCCCTACATGCAGTCTCCGTTGTAGTTATTTTTCTAGCCAGTTTTATATGTAGCATCCTATAACGGTAACTTCAAAACAGGAACTTCAATGGAGACTATAGGTCGTCGTGTAGGGCATCGGGAAGAGCAAGTGACGAGGTCACGGGACGCGAGCGCTTCCGCAAGATGCTGGATGGCGAAGGTGCCCATCCGTCGAAGTTAACTCCGATCTTGGTTCATGAAGGGTTCAGTTCTTGGTTATACCTGGACTATGGACCCTATACATTCCTGATTATCCTTTCCTCATATTACATACGTAAGTCCTTGCAAAGGTAGCCCTAAACCCCTAAAGGGTCTGGGGATTCAGGATAAACACGAAGTGTCGATTTCCGGGTCGCCGGTGCTTGGTTCTTCTCTCAAGGCTCCCAGCTACCGATATGGGGGGGGGATACTTACAGAAACCACGATACACTTCATAGCAAGAATCAGCGGTGCGTGCATGGCGGCGCCTAATTGGTTTCGCCCAAGATTTTGGTGATTCGTTTCAACATGAGGGCTCAGCGTGAAGCATGAAATGGTTGTAGGCTCTGTGGTGCAGTAGGTACATGTGTCGGGACAAGGCGGAGATCACGAATCTAGTAAAAGTCAAGCCAGCTGCATGGTGTGTAGATTATCTACTATTTGCTTAAGAAACCCCCAAAAATAAAAATAATAATCCCTATATTACCCCCCATAAGGAATATATGTGTTTATTTTTTGGTGGTTCTTAAGCAAATAGTAGTTAGCAATCACTTGCTTCCAACCCCAGAGAGGACCATTGGAAGTCAAAAGCGGGTCCGAAACCCTGAAGCCTCAACCCTTGAGTCATCGTGCACGAGGGTCTACCGCTTATACCTTTGATGATGCAAATCCTGCATTACCTTAAGGGATCTATAAGGGGTACCTTTAAGGGTTCCTTTAAGGGATCTGTAGGGTTTTAGGGTTTAGGGTTATACGGTTGATGATACAAATCCTGCATTACCTTAAGGACCCTAAACTATGGGAATTATGGCATATTCCTTATTATGCGTAATGCAGGGTTTATATCATCCACCGTAGTTCAACAGGGATGCTTGGGAGTCTGCTCGGTATTTGGTCGAAGTACCGCAAGAAGACCCTTGCCTCTGAACTTAGAAGAAGTCGCCGAAATCCCCAAGCCTTTCCCAGCCGGACTTCGCGCCAAGAGAAGTCTTATAAATCCCTTGCGCATCCATCAAAAAACCCTTCTGGAAGCCTTAAGATCTCTTATAGAACCCCATAAATACCATAATATATCAGAACATAGTACAGTGTAAGCCATCACGACGCGAGGATGTTCCTATGTTGTCCTTGTCGGGATCGTGCTGGGAACGGTTCACGGCTTAGCGTTTCTTTTTACATGCACAGGCCCTGTGAAGCCGGATTTTGTGGTTTAGATTCTGTGCTTGGGGTTCTTTTGGGTTTGGGCTTCTGCGGGGTTTGGGGTTTACCTTTTGTCTCCATTGTCTGTAGAGGATCCTAAATATACAACTGGTTAACCCAAATGGGAATCATAATGGAGACTATGGGTAGGGTCTGTGCTTCTTTCAGAACCTGCGCTTCAGCTTGTATCCCCATAACCCTGAGCTAGGCGACTTGCCCCAAGAAGAAGTTAAGTTGCAGAAGCATGCCGACATCGGCGTGCTCGGCACCATCTCGGCTTTTGAGAGATTGGGTTCGGATTACTCGACACGCCTTTCTCCGACCCTTGGCCTTCAATGATCGCATCAGCATTACCACTGCTACTGCGTGTGTTAGAGTATTTGCGGTTCAAACGCTTGTGCTACTTGCAGGGGCGGGGGCATGTATAAACCGCAAGGTAGTTTGCAAGAAGTGTCCTAAACTACCCATAGGCCCCAAAGTAGTTCCTTTGTGGGATTTACTTTATCGAATTCTAAATCTGAACCCCAAAAAGGAACTACTTTGGGGCCTTTGGGTAGCCGGGTAGCCCTGTCAGGCTTGAGCGCTTTGCCCCAAGTTTGATCTAACACCAGCGCTGAAAGCTAGACGTGAATCATAGGAGGCCAAAAGTGGTTTTAGCCTATGGGGGTTCAGTAGGGATTCGGGTTCCAATAATAGGGTTCATATTAAGGACTCCCTACCCCGAGAATCTTAAACCCCCCCTTTTGGCCTCCCATCAGTGAAGCCCTTGCAGACCCAGAGACTCCAATATCCTTTAATTAAGGAATATACCTTGAATTATAGTAGGATCCCTAACATGATGTAAGGAATATTCCTTAATTAAGGGATATTGGAGTCTCTGGGGAGGTCATGACGATCCTGGAGACCACTCCAGACTTCCGGGATCACCCCATGCTCTTTGAGTTCGTGGACCGCCGGCTGCCTGCTAGCTAGGGTTTGAGGTTTAGGGTTTAGGGGTTTAGGGTTTAGGGTTTAGAGTTTAGGGTTTAGGGTTTAGGGACCATTCTTCGGCTTTGGCATATGACACCGGAGAAAGAAAAGCTGCCCCTTGTTTCGCTTTAATTTAAGTATCTACTATTGATTACGAACCGACACTTCAGACCCCAAAGCCCTAAACCCAAAGCCCTATAGCCCTTGAGCCCCATCCCTAAACCCTCACCAGAGGGTCATAATTACCCTATCCCTGTTGTATAGAAGAACAATAGGTATTCTTGAGCAGGGGTAGGATATGACAACTTATAACATCATGATATGACAATTTCTGACATAGTAGGTTTAGTAATGTCTTGAGGGATCTCCCAGGGGGAATGCTCCAAGCTGTGTGCGCACGAAGGACTACACCTTGGCCTTTGCTTTCACCTGCGAGTGCGGAGCTCGAATGTTGACCCTTCAGTACGAGACCGTGGGGCTTATATAGAAACGGTGAGTTTAGACTTGGATTCTTGGGTTTGGAAAGGATGTAAAGGAAAATCATAAAGCCCTGAACCATAAGCCCTTAACGGCGTCCCCTTCTGAAACCCTAAAGCTTGGAGCCATAAACTGTTTCAGCTCCTAAGCCCTGCTAAACTTCAGATTGAGGCTGGTACTGCGGATGTATGCCAGCAGCTCCTATGCGGACTTCTTCGGAAACTGCCGGAGCCTAAGGGCTTGTCAGCTGTATGGGGCATGGTATTGAGGGTGTAGGTGTTTTTTGGGCTGGATGGAGCTCTGTAGGGTTGATAGTGCTTCTTTTACTTATTGGCCGTAAACTCTACTTTTCAACTTTTTGGGTTCTGATAAGGTAGTCGATTCTGAAAGTTTCAACTTTTTGCCTTGGCTTTTGGACCAGCGAGTTTATGCGCTTTCAGGAACTGTAAGTGTTTTACTAGGCTTCGGGGCGTACATGTTAGTTTGCTGTGGTATTATGGTTTACTGTTGGGGTTTCAGGATCTATAATAACTTACCCCAAGGGTCCAAAGGACCCAATAATTAGGTATTCGGCTTTAGGATAGTAGTTATGTAGGCTAGGATTTTGGAGAGTGTATGATTATTGGGTATTTGGACCCTTGGGGTTATGGACTTACGGCCCTTATCGGTGGGCTTTAGGAGTTAAGGGTTTCCGGGTTTCGGTGTTTGTGACCCCAAGCTCCAGACGCTGAAGCAGGCCCCACCCTAACTGCATGGGGTTCTATACGGGCATTACGGTTTGGGGTTTAGGGCTTAAAGGTCCATAAACCCACATAGCCTATACTTCGGCCTTAAAGTCGTCCCTATGTATATTGATGCTAAAGTATAGACTAGTTGTGCACATGGACCTGTAGGTCCGCGTAAACATAGCAAGAGCAAAACTTCAACCAGGGTACAACATCATTGACGTCTTCGCTGTGGCGGAGCGCTCAGAGAGTTGTCCACAGCTTTTTGCCAGCTCTTGGCGTTCAGAGCGAGATAGGCCGGGTTCCGAGATTCGGGTTAAGAGTGCAGGGGTGTGCACACGATGGCCTTCCATAGGTATCCTGGATAGAGCCCTTCGGATGCTCGACGGTAGCAGTTTGGGCTGGTCCAAGCGGTGTTCAGGGTTTGGGTCTCGGGGTGTGGGGATATTCTTATTGGCTGTAAACTCAACTTTTCAACTTTGGGGGTTCTTATACGGTAGTCGATTCTGAAAGTTTCAACTTTTATTTCCCTGGGTTTTGAGCCAGTGAGTATTATAGCAGAAGCTTGGAAGTGTTCCCCCCTACCCCCCAACGTCTATACATCCTAAACTAAACGTAGGACCCAAGCCCTTTGAAACCTTGAGTTCCCTACACTCCCAAGCCTATTACCTTACTTCCTACATGCTAAAACCCCGAAAGTGGGTCTCCAGCACTCTACCGGTTTGACGGATTTTGCGAGGGCTCTGGGGTTTGCCCTAAGGGTCTAAGTGTTTAGAGAGTGTTTTCGCCTTACCTATAGTCTCCATTGTAGTTCTTTTTCTTGGTTAACCAAAATCTCTATTATAGGTTCCTAACCATAAAACCAGTCAACCAAAAAAAGGAACTACAATGAGTGCTCTAGGTAGATTCCATGCATATTTGCTTCAGACTAAAAGGCACAGGGCGGATGTAGGTTCCATCTCGACCTACCCAGAGACTCCAAAACCCCTTAATTAAGGAATATACCTTAAATCATATAAGGGATCCTAATATAATTTAAGGTATATTCCTTAGCTAAGGGGTTTTGGAGGCTCTGGGTACGATAACCTACCTTTCTAGGTTTTTAATGAGTTCTATGTCGGTTGAAAAGGGTGTTGTACCTACGTCAAAGTAGGTTGTGGTGTTCAAACGTGATGTGCCCATTGTAGTTCCTTGGGTTACGCCGTGGGGTCTTGAACCAAAACTGGCTGAACCAAGAAAAGGAACTACAATGGAGACTCTGTCCCTAGGGCTCCAAGGATACACGTAGCACCTACCCTGGGGCCTAAAGTCTATGAATGGTACCTACTTTGGGAGTTTCCGAAAATTAGGGCTACCTGACATTGGGGTCCTAATAAGGATCCTACTAAAGAGGTACTACGTAGGGTCCCCGAAATTCGGCAACTCCAATTTGGAGCCACAGGGTAGGTAGGGCTCCCGAGTCGGGGATACCCACGGATCAACCAGAAATCAGGGAGGCTGGGGTTCGGGGCTCAAGAGATTCAGCTATTGTTATTATTATATACCACATATCATTATTTCTTAATTGTTTAATCGGTTTGGGCGCTACTTAAGCCCTAAAACCTAAATCCTAAACCCTACTGTCTTAGGGCTCATGCATAACCTTAAGCGTCCATGTGCCGTAGTAGTATATACTTTGGCCTTAAAGTAGTCCCTATAATGTGGCGGTCGGATTAATAGTGGGGTACCCCCCCCCCCCCCCCCCGTTGCGGTCGGTTTAGTGCGGAACCGGTAGCCCCGGACAGGGGTCAGGGGTCTGAGTGGCAGGGAATTGGGAGGTGCCGGGGTTTGGGGGCTGGCTTGGGTGCAGGGTCTGCGGTTCTGCGCGACTGCGCCGTCGGGGGTCGGGGGGGTCTGGGCCAGCGCCTGAAACCCTAAACCCTGAACCCTAAACCCTAACGAATCCTAAACTCCTAAACCCTATAACAAACCCTAAACCCTAAGCCCTAAACCCTTCCAAAGGGGGGTCGGTCCAGATTCGACCCAAAACTTAATTTTTTATGCAAACTTTAGTACTGGAGAGGCCTCTTTTGAGCTAGGGTCCAATCCCCCCCAATAATCAAGGTATACTGGAATAGTACAGTAGTAGTATAATAATAGTGCAGTAGTACAATAGTAATACAACAGTAGTACAGTGGTAGTACAATAGTAGTACAGTAGTAGTACAATAATAGTACAGTAGTACAATAGTAGCACAATAGTAGTACAGTAGTAGTACAGTAGTAGTACGATTATAGTACCGTAGTACAATAATAGTACAGTAGTAGTACAGTAGTAGTACAATAATAGTGCAGTAGTACAATAGTAATACAACAGTAGTACAGTGGTAGTACAATAGTAGTACAGTAGTAGTACGATAATAGTACAGTAGTACAATAGTAGTACAGTAATAGTACAGTAGTAGTACAATAGTAGTACAGTAGTACACTAGTAGTACAGTAGTAGTACCACAGTAGTACAGTAGTACAGTAGTAATACAGTAATAGTACAGAAATAGTACCAATAAGCAAAGCATAAAGCCAGTGAGCACATTCCCCCAATAAGCAAAGCATAAAGCCAGCGCCTGAAACCCTAAACCCTGAACCCTAAACCTTAACAAACCCTAAACCCTAACGAATCCTAAACTCCTAAACCCTATAACAAACCCTAAACCCTAAGCCCTAAACCCTTCCAAAGGGGGGTCGGTCCAGATTGGACCCAAAACTGAATTTTTTATACAAACTTTAGTACTGGAGAGGCCTCTTTTGAGCTAGGGTCCAATCCCCGATTCGGCGGTTCACCCTAGCAGCCCCCCCCAATAAGCAAGGCATACAGTAGCAGTACAATAAATAGTACAATAGTAGTACAGTAGTAGTACAGACTCCCATTCCTGACGCCCCAATAAGCGAAACAATTCTGCAAGAGATTTTGGGGCTTCAGGGCCAGGGTTTTAGGGTTGGGTGGGGGTTTGGGTGGGGGTTTAGATCGTGGCTGCCTTAAGATTGACCATCAGCAAATAGCACAGCCCCGCCACCAAAAAATCCCCCCAGCCAAAAAAAACGCATTAATTAGACCAAGCCCAAATTTGTGGGACCGGTCGGAATTAGCCCCCGAGCCGACGCATTAAAGGAGCCCATATTCCTAAACCGACCGGCACATTATAGGGAATCACTGGGGTCAAAGCAAATCCTATTTGGGCACATGGACCCTTTAGGGTTTAGGGTTTAGGGTCAAAGCATCATAATGGGCCCCAAAACCCCATTCTAGTTATTAATTAGTAAAGCGACTTTATAAAAAAAATCAGGGATCATACATTCTACATTGAAACCCCAAAACAGAAACCTCCCCTGCCAGGTGCCAGGTGTGACTCAGCTTTTGTTCCTGCTCTGGCATGCGGAAGCGCACAAGATGCATCAGGCGCCTGGACGGGGGCTTGAACATCGGAAGCTGGGTTCTTGTTAAGGAAGTTAATGCCAGTTACCAGAATGAAGAAATCGTACTATTTACTGTAGATCCCTATTGTGGTAACTTAAATTAAGTTCCTTAGCAAGAACCCAGTAAGGTATATGTGCAATCTTACGAGGATTACCCTAAACCCTAAACCCTAAACCCTAAACCCGGGGAGGAGCTCAGCAATGAGGTTGAAGACTCCAAGGCCGTTCCCAGGGTTCACAGCCCCTCAGCTGTCGGCGTAGTGGAGTCTCTGAGGGCTCTGGTCCTAACGGTTTCATAATAGATACTGCTATGATGGAACTAGGTCCCCCAGAAGCATGAGTAGAATGGTGTTTTGGGGGCTGATTCAATAATGGTAGCATCTTTGGACATAGCAGGGACTCACAGTGCTGAACCCGCTGGAAAGGAGGGGCGGGGGATTGTAAGGCAAGCCCCAAAGCAGTAGCGAAGCTTGAGGGTACAGTGTTTAGGATTCTCGGCTTCGGGGTTCTAGGGTGGTGCTTTCAGGGTTTAGGGTTCAGACTTTAGGGGGATCCAACGGTAAAGGGAGGGACCCTTAATAAGGACCCCTAGGTATATACCCTTCATACAGCTATTAGATACCCATTATATAGCCCATTATAAGGTAGGGGTCCCCATTAAGGGTACCTCCTTTTACCCGTTGAGGGGATCTCCCTCACAACAGGCTCCACTGGCTAGGGTCCTTGCAGCAAAATCTGGCGCCTGCTCGCGTTCTGATGATTCTATGAGGGTTTTATACAGGTGTTATGAAAATTTCTATAACCCCAAGGGTCCAAAGTCCCCAAGAATTAGGTACGCGGTTTTAGGACAGTTATTATGCAGGTTAGGGTTTTGGAGAGTATATGACTATTGGGTACTTCGACCCTTGGGGTAAGAGTTGTGTCAGGAGTAAGGTTCGTCCCGCATGCGCAAGAATATATGAGTGGGAACACTGCTTAAAGGGTCATGGGACTTAGTAACTACTTATAACTACTCATAGCCCCAATTAAGGTACTTAAAGCCTTACTTACTATGTCCCATGATCCTCCAAGTGGTAGCCATTGAGGTCCCAGTTTTGCTATATAGTTCAAGCAAGTTGAATGCACCGCCCTCTGCCCCCCAAAAAGTGCTATTCTACTTCTTGCAGCCCCTATGATAAGCTCTTTTCAGGTTTAGGGTTTAGCCAAGCCCACCCAAAGCTGTCTGTGCCTTTAAGGGCAATCCATGGTTTAGGGTCCTCAAGGTAATGCAGGATTTATATCATCAACCGTAGTGTTAGTCCTGATCTGTTATAGACTATTCTTCATAATGACCGTATCGGGAAGCCACGAAGCTCTGAACCCTAACCCGAAAAGTGATATGTACTGTTATGGGGGATACTTCCCTACGTCATAATAGTAATTCTTACTATGGAAACCCTACATTCTACTATATCGGTACATAGGACCCTTTGGGTAAACCCTGGGAGATGTGGAGGCTGTAGATTCTATGCGCACCTTCCGCATCATTCGGCTACTCCGCATCGCCAGAGTCTTCCGAGTGTTGTGGGGCGGCCCGGAACGGAATGGTCCCGGTTTCCGCTTAACGGAGTTTAAATTGGGGTTTCAGAGGATTGGATTTCCGCTTGTTGGGCTCAGAGCTTTTGGATTTAAGAACTGGGGGTATAGGCTCATAGGGTGTACTACTCACAAATTTTGGGGCGTTGAGGGTTTGAAGTTTAGGCCGACCGTTCGGATTCTGCATTGGATGGTCGTAGGGGCCTGGATAATTACCAAGACTATTTTCGGGCTCCTTATTATAATTGTGGTATAACATACCACAAATCCCTGTTCTAATTATTAAGACCCTTATGTCTTGTGTCTTCACAGCTAGTATTGTTAAAAGCACAGATATGGGCTTTCGGCTTTATCGTATAACCTAAGCAACGGTCAGTATCGGCTCCGGTGCCAAAGCTTTAGTGTTAAAGCGAGGGTTGTCACCGCTTCCTCTCCCAGCTCCCAACTCACAAGCCTTGTTGGCTGTAAACTCGACTTTTCAACTTTTGAGGTTCTTATAAGGTGGTAGAATTTGAGAGTTTCAACTTTTTTCCCTGGGTCTAGAGCCAGTGAGTCGATCCCCGAATCGGGGGGGATGCTCGAGGTTAGTCAGCTTTACGTAGCAAGTTTTGGGCCTGGGGGTTCATTTGCAGTGAATCCCAGAAAGTTGAAACATGGGTTTGGGATGCTGGGAACCCCTATATACTTTGCCTTAAGGGCATGGGTGGCGTTTGAGGCCACCTCTCTGGACGAAGCAGCACTGGCCGCCGAAACCAGGAAAGTCATTTCGCAACTCGACCTCACGAAAAGTTCGGGGTTCGACGGCCTGATGGTTGGCGCGACTTCCAAAGTGTTGTTCTTGACAGCGATTTGATTAGACAACCTTGTCATTGCGGCCGTCAAGCGAGTGCAGCGCCACATTTTGGCGGGGCAGGACGCTGGGCTGATGACGCCGCATGAAAAATTCCTCGCCGGAATGCGCTCCATCGTCGTTCCGCAAATCAAGAAGGAGCTTCATGATGAGAAGAAGGTTTTGAAGCCCTTGTTGGACGCTGGAGGCAAGCAGCAGGTCGACTCCAACGGCAAGAGACTCTGGGAGCTGTCGCCCGAGGGAGTGCCTGTCATGCTGGACAACCCCAGATGGCACTCGATTTTGATTCAAGGAGTCATAGATCATGTGGCTGCTCAAATTCTTTTCAATTTAGGAAACCCAAGTGGAAGGGCTACTGTAGTGTCGGAGAGTTTGTGCTGCCTCCCTCCGCACTGCAAGATTCTGAACCCAGAGCCTCCAAAACCCCTTAATTAAGGAATATACCTTAAATTAGAATAGGATCCCTTATATGATTTAAGGTATATTCCTTAATTAAAGGGTTTTGGAGTCTCTGGGAATCATGCAGATTTATCCTTCGGCGCCTGGGTTGGGTCCTCACCCCGTTGTCTTATTGGCTGCAAGCTCAACTTTTCAACTTCTGGGGGTTCTTATACGGGAGTCGACTCTGAAAGTTTCAACTTTTATTTCCCTGGGTTTTGAGCCAGTGAGTTGTACTGAAGTTGAGCGTGATGTAGTTTCACATTGTGCAAAATTTTCAGGACCTTGTATAGAGCCTGAGCACAAGGATCTTTGCTGCAAGTGTACTATACATCCGCCCTGAATGGGCAGTCCTCCGAAACTTTCAACCTTAACGTAGGAACCTGATTGAGAACGGGTTCCTATATTCCCATACCCTACACCCTAAAGCCCAAACCCTAAAGCCCTGAACCCTAAGCCCTAACCTCTGAACCCTAAGCCCTAACCCCAAGGGTCCAAAATACCCAATAATCATACACTACTAACCTACATAACTACTCTCATAAAGCCGGATACCTAATCATTGGGTCCTTTGGACCCTTGGGGTAACCTCTGAACCCTAAACCCGCAACATTCCCTTGCACCAGTCGTTTGCTGCACGAGTGGAACATCGTTCCGCAGATGGACCTGCTGCTGGCTGTGCTGATGGACCCCTGCATCTGTAGCCGGCTTGGGCATCGGTCTTAGGAGTTTAGGGGTTCAGGGTTCCGGGTTTGATTTCGAAATTGTGTTCGCTAAGTTTAACCTTTATTAACCTAGAGAAATCTGCCCGAAACCCGACACGCGCTGAATCCTAAACCTGAGACGGGGCTTTGCTAAGACTTGGGTTGCCTGGCGAACGGCTCAGTTGGCTGGTTTGGGTTTAAGTGGGCTGCTGGTCTAGATACAAAGCCGAATCTGTCAGTCTCAGGAAATCTTGCACCGTGTTTGTTCGATTATTGACCCGACTTAGTACTTCTGAATGCTACTATGGGCTATTAGACCTTATGGGTACCTTAATCTACCCTTAATAGGGTCCTAATAGGGATCTTTAGGGTCTAATAGCCCATAGTGGTGAGTAGGACCCCCCTACTGCATCTTGATACGCCGAATCTGTTTAGGGTTTATGGAGCCCTCGGGCTGGTAACAGAGTAATACGGTGGAAATTATAAATTCTAGGGTTCCTCTACAGGTATCTATATATAGGGGGTACCTTTAAGGGGTTCCTTTAAGGCATCTATGGAGCTTTCGGGTTTAGGGTTGATGCTATAAATCCTGCATTACCTTAAGGACCCTAAACTATGGGAATTCTGGTATATTCCTTATTATGGGTAATGCAGGATTTATATCATCAACAGTAACCAGCAAACCCAGACATGCCCATGTACCCAAACAGTAGGGTTTCGAGGTCCAAAACCCATTCAGATTTTGAAGCTTGGAGCCTACAGGAACCCCAAGGTTCCAAAGCACCCAATAATTAGGATGGTTTTAGGGTCTATAATAACTTACCCCAAGGTTCCAAAGGACCCAATGATTAGGTAGTAGTCGGCTTTCGGATAGTAGTTATGTTCTGCTTGGATGTAGGTTAGGATTTTGGAGAGTGTATGATTATTGGGTATTTGGAATCTTGGGGTCAGACCTTACTATTTCGGTAACTCGCGATTCTCAGGATGCCCTGATTGCAGACCCTGCACATATGATGTGACGGAGCCGAAGTTTGAGTTTCCGGGTTTCCAAGCCCGAGCTCTATAGATCACCACAAGTAGGCCCTTAACCCACAACCCTGCGGGCTTAGGGTTTTGGCGGGTTTAGCTAATCTAAATTAACTAACCCTGAACCCAAACGCAGTAGTAGAGTAAGCAACCTTTAACCTTTTTTTTGGTAGTATAGTCCCTATATAATCCCTATATAACCAAAAAGGTTAACCTTTAGTTCCCCAAGCTACCCGACAAGTAGGCAAAGCCTAAACCGATCGGTGAGCGCGAGAGCCAACACGGCTCGGAGGAGTCATCGAGCAATGGCATCATCATCGTCGCACTTCTGGGATCTCAGCTTAGCTGCTGGAGTTTCGGGTCTTCCTAGATGGCCCACCTATCCTCTGTTATACCCAAAATACTTATATACCATTAAGGACGAAAGGACTGTATTAAAGGGTACTTGGGAGGTCCTGCCTGGGGTGTAGGGCTTAGGGTAAAGGGTAGAAGGTTTTGTCTTCAAGGGTCGCTCTTGAATATTGTTGTCAGGCTTTCGTGCCGAGGGGTTGAACCATAGAGATGTGGTGTCATTGCTGGTTTCCTGCTTTTGAGGGTGTTGTTTTGATAGGGATAGGTGTGGTCATTTTATCAGCCTGAGGTTGCGACATGTCAATTGGGAGACCCTTGCCTGAGTGCTGCTGTACACACATTTCTGCACATATAGTCGTCATGTTTTCGGACATCAGTATGAAGACTTGTGAGCCATGCCACAGTTTGATCTTAGTTATGTTGGTGGGGTTATGGGACTGTGACAGCTATGAAGGGTTGCAGCTGCAAGCCTGAAAATGATTCCTCCAACTCTTCAATCTGACCATGTTCCCAAATAGTATACACTTTGGCTGCAAAGTACCTATATGGGGACTACTTTAAGGCCAAAGTATATACTATTTGGGTACATGGACCCTTAGGGTCAGACCTCGAACCCAAAGACTCAACAATATCCTTAAACCCCACGCACCTGCACGTAAATCTCTCCACGCCCTGAGCCTCTGTACCCGTAAACCGTAACTGTCTTGAACTGTACCCAAGGGTCCAGGTTCCCAAGCGGTGTATACTTTGACTTTGGCCCCATAGCGTTTGTGGCTCCCTGTATCTATATAGTATAGAATGTTCTTAGGCGCTAAGGTGCCTCACTATATTCGATGAGCCCTAGGACTATACAATAGAAAGCCCTTCAAACTTATTGTCTGTAAACTCAACTTTTCAAACTTTGGGGTTCTTATCAGGTAGAGAACTTCTGAAAGTTTCAACTTTTGTTTACCTGGGTTTCCTTTGGGCTCTTATAAGGTAGAGAACTTCTGAAAGTTTCAACTTTTGTTTCGGTTTCGAAACAAATCCGGAGCCCCAACCCCACCCCCTAAACCCTAAACCCTAAACCCTAAACCCTAAACCCTAAACCCTAAACCCTAAACCGCCACCTAACCTCCCCCCCCACGCAAAGAATAGAAGTCTGAGGGTTGATCTCCCTCTTCGCGGCGTGTGTCATGTACCTCGTAGATCTACCTGGCTGCCAAGGCCCACCGTAACCTACCAAACTCTAACGCTTTTGTAGCTTCTTGTAAAAAAGCCTAACATGGAGTTCATACGGACCCTACAAAAAAAGTAGGTTTGGGTAGGTGAAGGTAGTAATAGGCATGTATGATCTACGGTTTGGGGCTAGGGCTCACTTTGACCTGTCATAACTTACCTTCTTGCAGGTTCCCTACAAGCTTCCGATCGGGTCTGGAATGTGAGAACCTACACCAAAGCAGCTCATCGTAGTTTCAGTTTCATGCCGGGTTTAAAGTTTGGACTTAGGCTTCAGAGCCGGTTACTTACCTTTGGTTAGTAGGGGATGTAGGAATGGGGTACCATTATGGCTACTAGTACTACCAGTCTTCCATTCCCTACTAACCAAAGGTAAGTATTCCTGTTATCATTATAGTACCCTTATTATAGATCCCTTATAGTAACCCTGATAAGCCCCTTGTTCCTACATTCATGACATCGAGCCCTGAGATGGAGTTTGAGACCAAAGGTAAGGTTAGGAAGATTGCAAATTCAAGGGTTCCCTCCAGCCAGGCTTGAGCTGTGCTGTTGTTGCTGCGCACTGTAGGGGTCAGAATAGGTAGAGCAGCGCGTTGTAGTTCATGCTGAAGTACACACATACGTTCGTATTTTATAAGTATATAATTACTATGCCTCATGTGTGTGTATATATATATATATATACACATTGATGTGCGCATACATGTGGTTTGATGATAGGGTTGCATTTTGTGTTGTTGGGGTGGTGGAGGTGGGCTGGGTGGGTGGGTGGGTAGGTCGGGAATACATCATGGCATAGTTGCGGAGGGCAGGGACGATATGCCGGGGAGCTTTCTTGAATTATTCACGGAAGAAGCCTCAGAAGGACAAGAAACCCACATGTGCTTCTAGGATTCAAGCCGGTTTCATGTCAAAGCGATGGCATCAGTGGGCTTGATGGCTGGAATAACCGTGAATAACCTAAACCTCAAACCCCAAACCTTAGACCCTGTAGAATCTCGAGCGGGTGTCTGCAGCTTGAGTCTGGAAGATATTCGTTCGAGCTGCTTACTCCGTAAGAGATGCCCTGCAGGCCAAAAAGCGCCAACAAAGCCAGTCCCTTATAAGGGTCCGCGTGCCCAAATGGGGTTCCTTTGAGGGTTACGACAATGGGCTCTATAGGGTTTAGGTTTAGGATTACAGGGTCTATGTGACCAAATAGTATATACTTCGGCCTCAATTTAGTTCCTACATGGGTTCATTTAGGCCGAAGTGTATACTATTGGGGTACATGGACCCTTACGGAGCGCATAACACTCGCAAGCAAACCATGCAGAACCGAACCTCAGCACTTTATCCTACATAAACCCGAAGCCAATAACCTGCACCCCGATTTTGAAGCGTGAATGCAGAAGCCTACTTCACGGCCCCACATACAAGGAACAGAGAGGTCGGCACGGCTTTGGTAACATCTCCCGATCGTCCCTATATATGTACACTCCAAAACCGATTCCAACTATCAAGTCAGTGCATGGCTTGCAAGCAGGTGCGTCGGAAGCAACATCCAGGCCCATCGCCGGCAGGGGTTCTTGTTGTTGGGGGCTGCCTGGAATAGCCTTTTAAAACAGCGCTTCACGAGGTTTTAGAGGTATTCGGTACGGTTGACAGGGCGTGAGACGACCGACTCTTATAAAGTTTGCTTGGGGTGTGTTCCGGCTACGGGTTTAGACCCGCCTGAGGGCTTACTTCGGGAAAGTGGCTTAGTCTTGAACAAAGCCCAAAGCCAAACCGCATCAGCAAGGATCTCCGGAGTACAACTGCTGGCTTGGACCGACCACCCAAACCCCAAATCTTCGACGCCCTCGTATTACACTTTTACCTTCCCCTAAGGGTCCATGTATCCATATAGAGATACATGGGCCCCAAAGTACCTATACAGGAACTACATTAAGGCCAATGTATATACTATATGAGTACATGGACCCTTAGGGTTCTTTCTTTGACGGATCAAAAAACGATGCACTTCTTGCCAGTGTGATACGTACTGAGGAATTCAGAGCCCGAAGGCGCGCTACTTAAAGGAGCATGGGACTCCCCAAGGGTCCAAAGGACCCAATAATTAGGTATTCGGCTTTAGGATAGTAGTTATGTAGGTTAGGATTTTGGAGAGTGTATGATTATTGGGTATTTGGACCCTTGGGGACTTAGTAACCACGAGACTTTAAGACTACTAGGGTAACTATACTCATACCTACTTCAAATCCCAATTGTGGTACCTGGAACCACATTTACTAATTCCCATAACCCTCCATGATAGAACACTTATAGATCCCTTTAAGGATCCCTTTAAGGATCGTAAGTCCCATGCTGCTCCAAGTAAGCAGGCTCGAGTAATGAGGCCCCGGGCTAAGACCCGACGACTTGGTAACCCTGAGCCCGTAGGTGTAGGGGTACCCAAAGGCCCCAAAGTAGTTCCTTTTTGGTGTTCATATATAGAATCCTATAAGGTAAACTACTATGGAGCCTATGAGTAGGGTTAGAATTTTATGGGTTTAGGGTTTGTAGGGCTGCATGTGTCGGGTTTAGGATTCTTTTTGGGAGGGGTTTCCTGATAGGACCCTACATGTAAAGCTGGTTCAACACCAAAAAGGGAACTACAATGGAGACCTTAAACCCGAAACCCTAAACTCATAATATAGGTAAATCCTCCACCCCAATACCTGTTTAAGCTTCAGAACACCGCCTCCCTAGGGCGAGATGGCACAGCACCGGCACGAGATTCACGACCTCTTCCCCTAAGGGTCTATGTATCCAAATAGTATGTACATTGGCCTTAAAGTAGTCCCTGTAGGGGTACTTTGGGGGGCCAAAGTATATATACTATTTGGGTACATGGAGCCTTATAAGGGTTCCTCCCCGTGACTCAAGATCGCGAAGAGCGGACTGCTCCGAGGCGTCGCATCCTCACTCATCTCTTCAATGCCGATCTTACCAAGCCGAGTGTAGAACGTTGCTGCTCATGGGCCATGGGGGTGCTGCGAGCCCGAGTATTTTGCAGACAATCTCTCTCTCTGGTGCTCCAGGGCTTTGATGTCTGCGAAAGCTTTCTCTCGCTTGGCTAGGGCTCCCGTCTGCACATCACTCACTTGGCTAGTTGTCAAAATTAGGGTCCCTTTTTGGGTCCTTATTGTATTACGGCACCTAATATTTAGGGAACCCAACAAGGGACCCTAATTTGATAACCACTCACTTCTGGACAAAGCTGTGCAGCGCTTCACCGGGTTCGGGGGGAAGACGATTGCCCCAGCGGCTCCACTGGCATCTGCCGATGAGAGCGATCCTGGGCCACCTCCAGGCGGTGGCGGCACCCACCAGCGGCCGACCCAGTTCAGCAGCCCCGGCGACACCGCCAGCTGCAGATGTGCTTGGGGTTAGAGAACGAAACGACAAATCAAGTTATGAAGCAACTGCACGCCAGGATACCAGCAGTTACTAGCATAGGGCTCAGTGAGGCTTTCAGCTTTAGGGGCTTAGAGGCATAGAGGGTGCAGGGCTTGGAATTTGAGATCCCAGAGTCCGTTTTTGGTTTAGGGTTCAGGGGTTTAGGGTTTAATTTAGTGTTTAGGGGTTTAGGGCCCAGGGTTTAGGTTAGGGCCGGTTAGGTTTGCGTAACAAGTGCACGGCGGCGTCTGGTCACAGAGTTGTTTGAAGTCCTCAAACCCCTCAATTCCTTAATCCCTGAGGCTCAAACCGTAAGTAGAGTGGAGAATACAAACTTAGTGGGCTACACGACGTGATAAAGTCCTCTGAGTTGTCAGCAACACCTTGTAGTTGTCATGCCGTACTCGTCCTATATTCAAACCCTAAATACACCCTTTACCCCCTAAGTCCTGAACCCTCAACCGCTCAACCCCAGAACCCTAGAACCCTCAACCCAAACCTTAAGCCCCAAGCTCCGGATCCTGGAAACAAGATGCATAGGTTAAAAAAACATAGTTTGTTAGTTTTTTTAAACCTGGAAACAAGATGCCAGTTGGTATTCCTCCTCGGCTCCAGCGCAGCCCTCTTGCTCGGACAATGAGCAGGGCGCTCATCGCGATGCTTGGGGTTTAGGGCTTGTGGCTTTAGGGTTTAGTCTTCAAGGTTTGGGGTTTAGAGTTCGGGGGAATGCTCAGGATACTACACATACCGAAGGTATATAGTACAGTACAATATAGTATATTGTAGTATAGTAACAGTATAGTATAGTATAGTATATCCTAGTATAACATATTATAGTCCCCAAAGCTCACCCTAAACCCCTAAACACCCTAAGCCCTACTTGCACTTACATCCTACACCCCGGAAAACTTCAGCCTCGGGGCTACTCGAAGGGCTTGTGGGCCTTTTTGGGGGTTTATATTACCATAAGATACGGTGGATGATATAAATCCTGCATTACCTTAAGGACCTTAAACTACGGGAATTATGGTATATTCTCTATTTATGGGTAATGCAGGATTTACATCATCAACCGTAATCCGGCTCTGGGTTCTTTATAGCCTCCTTAGGAATCATTCTCTTTATGTTGGGGTCCATATAACACCCAAGAGAATAGTATCAGTTTTGCATGTTGTTTTTATGGTTCTAAGGGGGGGGGTGTAGTTCTGAGTCTCTAGATAGAGTAAGATCTTGAAGCCCGGGATCCAATTCGAACGGCCTGACGGTAATGAGTGTCTGCAGACTAGTTCCGGTATAGTTATGATAGTATACGGTTTAGGGTAGTGCAGGCTTGCGGTTTAGCATGGGGTTACAGGCTTTAGGGTTTGTGGTCTGGGTATTAGGAGAGCAAATATGTGACTAAGGCGGAAACGGTGGCGAGTGTGATTGTGTGTGGCTACTTGTGCCAACGCAGACCGAAGCAGGCTCTAACCTTAAGGACGAAATGAACCCTAAAAGGATTTAAGGTTCATATACCATTATAGGGATTCATAGTATATGGGTTTAGGGCCCCTACTTTTACAGGTCACTTGGTCCTTCAGGAAATGCACGCCCCGATGTCCAACACCCCATGATGTTTAAGATCCGAATCCCGCGTATGTCAACCCGATATCTGCCCCTAAACCCCCAAACCCTCAATCTTAATTAAGCCCCTCAACCCTACCTGTAGCCGGAAAGACCTACCTTTTTAGGGTTCCTTATTATGTTTTCTTTCTATACTTCATTAGAAAGGTGGGTCTTTTCGGCTACAGGTAAACCCTGAACCCGAGATCCCCTTACACCCTGAACCTCAGGAGCCCGAGACTCCTTAACCCACCAATCACTGAAGCCTCTTACTCCAGACCATTAGGATTCAGGAGTTCTTCCACCGAAGCTCCATTGAATCCGATGTTCAGCCTAGGATGCCCAGTAGTACCCTTATTCCCTTTTTGTAGTCCTAGCTTCCTTATAAAGTTACCCAGTACCAAAAAGAGAGGCCTTGTTATTCTTAGGTTGCTGGGTATCCTAGCAGCTTTTCACTGTAGAAAATTTTCGTAAAAGCGAGGATGCCTTTCGCTTCCATCCCAGCTGCATGGTCTGGGCCTCAGTTGGAGTTTCGGGGTTTAGGTCCATATATCCGAATAGTATATACTTTGGCCTTTAAGTACTCCCTATATAGGTACTTTGGTGCCAAAGCATATACTATTTGGGAGCATGGACCCTTAGGGGAGCTACTTGGTGTTTAGGGTTTAAGGTTTAGGGTTTCGGGTTTAGGGCTTGGCGGTTTAAGGTTTAGGGTCTATTCTGGCTAGTAAGGCCCCGAAATTAGCGTTGGTTCTGTGACTGCCCCTATGAAGCACATCTAGCATTATGGTTTTAAGTGAGAACCCAGGGCAGCCTGCAGCTCCCCCGGATCTTGTTGAAGAAGCTTCCTGTAGAACGTGGACCACATAGGCAAGGACTGGGAGGAAAGTATGTCTCAAACGAGGAGGTTTTGTTGGCTTTGCAAAGCTCTGCATGTAAGGCCCTGTTCTGCGCTTCTTCATCTAAGCTAGTCCTAGGCTTGCTTTGTCATTGAAAGCAGTTGCGAAGCATCGAGCTCAGTGGTGTGCGTCAGGACGGTCTCTCCTGTGATTCACCGTCCATTGCTTGATCAAGTAGGTATGCTAGAACCTCAACCCACTCCTGGTTCCGGGTTTCATGTGCACGAGAGCCATGCGAGGTGGTGGGCAATCACGACTATGACCACCGTGGGCTATGGAGATGTGATTCCTACCACCTTGCTGGGAAAGACGCTTGGGCTAATTATCTGCACGAGCTGAAAAAACTAAACCCTGAACCTTGAACCTTAAGCTCTAAAGTCTAAATCCTAAACCCTTCTCTCCACAGCCTCAAGCCGTTCAGGTTAAGAGCACAGCTTAGGTTCGGAGCCTGTTGGTTTCAGGCTTTCCAGGCGCTTATATCACTTATATCTATAGGTATATATATATATATGCACAGATACACTTGCAAAGCCGTCTAGCCTCCACGCCCTGCGCCCAGCTCACTGCACTTCAAACACATCAGCACAGGTTAAACTGCCAGCATCCAGAGATTTACCAGAAACAAACAGGACTCTTCCCTGCCCCCAGCTGCTAAAGATCTACCCAAAGAGAACACCACTCCCCCCCTCCCCACCATTTTGGGGTGCTTATAATTATAATAAGGGCCTTAGGGTGCTATACCAGGGTCCCCTATTTTCGGAAACTATATATTAAACCTATAGTCTCCATTGTAGTTCCTTTTCGTTGGTTTACCAAAATCTCTATTATAGGTTCCTAACCATAAAACTGGTTAACCAAAAAAGGAACTACAATGGATACTATATAAGTACCACCCAAGAACAATGAAAAGCAACGAGGCTCGTCGCCGGCCTCGCTTGTGTCTTGGGCGTGATGATCATTGCGCACGGCTCTGCTCAGCACAGGAGCCCAGAGGTCGAAGCGTTCAAGCCTGGTTCGTAGTACATGAACCCTGGATTGCAGTACGTTTTTGGCTTGGCTATTTGTTGTTCAGAGTGACAGCTGATACCCACAGCTATACAGCCTATCGCACCCGCAGGTACTTCAACTCAGGGCTAGGCGGCGCTTAGGGGCTTCTTTCGGGGATCGTGTGACGAGCTCAGGTGTTAAGCTTTTGAGTTTAACCCTCGATCATGAATCCCGACAATCCGCAGTACTGCTGCTGGGCACGATCTTGCATTATGTACCTTTGTGCACGAAAATGCCAGTTGTAGATACTGCGGGAGTTGTAGGACGGTTTGGAGTTCAGGTTTGGAGCAGTTCTTGGCTGTGGTGACGATTTGAGTTCGACCGGCATAGGCCTAGCTTAGAGATTAGAGCATCTTCATGGATTGGTTTTCATGGAGTTGAGAAAGTGTCTGGGTGTACTAATCACAGTTTGGCCTAGAATGGGCTGGGGTGTCGGTTGGCCTCGTAGCTGGTCTCGGCCAAGATTCGTTGGGTGAGGCAGAGACAGCGTAAGTCCTAACTAACCATTGATATTATGGGAGCTAAGGAGCCAGGGATGATGATAATCCCTATTGAATAAGGAGCTAAAGAGCCCAGGGAACCCCCAAAACCACTGGTTAGCTAAGCCCTGAACCCTACAAGTTGATGGAACACCTTGCGACTGGGTTCGATCCATCGCCAGTTCGCACAGCCTCAGCCGAAATGAGCGTCGCAGCGCTTTGTGCCTTGCTACGTAGCAGTTATCACCTCCATTCCGAGGTTCTCCGCTGAATTCCGACAGCGATGGCTGCGGATCCAGGTGGGACAGACCCTGCAAAACCGCATCCAAATCCAAAGGCCACAGGCCACAATCGCACAAGCCTAGGCCGACTGGCGCAATTTCGACAAATTGTGATAAGGACAATTGATTAAGCTGTTTGCGGTTTGCCTCGGGGGGGCGGGAGTGTGGCATGTGTCCCTTTCACGGCAAGCAGTCCCACACTGAATCCAAAAGCCCTGCCCTGAACCCGAAACCCTAAACCTAACGAAGTATCGCGATAATACAAAACACAACAACTAAACCATCGCCAGATGTTGTTTCAAGCTGGATCGGCCCCTGGGTTTGTGATATGCATGATGCCAGGCGACCCACCGCATGAAGCAACTGGATGCCGTCGACAGGAATGAGGCCTTGCTGTTGTTATTTGTTGTGCTGCCGATTCCGGGTTTGTATGGGAGTTTCCGAACATTAGGGTACCTTGTATTGGGGTCCTTATAATAAGGACCTACTATTTAGGGTACTATGTTAGGGTCCCCTATTTTCGGAAACTCCGACACATTCAGGTTGGGCTTACTACAGGTTTTACTTTGACCCTGGGTTGTAGCACTAGCGGCACTAGCGTGTTTTATTGTCGAGGTCCTATACCAAAAGTTCAGAAGAACGAAGGCAGGAATATTTATCCGTGACTAGTGCCTAGTGGTATTCCAGCATATTTTCGACTTGTCACAATGCCCAACTATGAACCAGGAAAAGGTACCACAGGGCACGACCGGCAGCACATGTCCGAGTAGAACGTGTAAATGTTCAGAAGACTGCTGCATGGTTGGCGTAGTTGGAGTACCACGGTTGATGATATAAATCCTGCATTACCCATAATAAGGAATATACAATAATTCCCATAGTTTAGGGTCCTTAAGGTAATGCAGGATTTATATCATCCACCGCACGGCTCGGCGGTAGCAAGGCAAGCCTTGGTTCATCCTGCGCGAATCCTGAACTCCTAAACCTTCGCCCTTGCCAAAGCAAAAGCAAGAGCAGCAAGCGCTGCAATCCGAGAAACTGGAAATACAGGAGCCAGAATACTACACTATAGTTATAAGAAGGAACCCGGAGGACGAATATTGGTAGGACCCGATAGTAGACCATAGACCCAACCCCATAATGATGGGGCTTTGTAAGCAACTGAAGTTAAATCGAGGAAGGAGCTGCAACCTCAAATCACTATCAAAATCCTCGCTCCGAACTCAACAACCTTTGCAAACTCTAAAAAAGGCTGAAACGTCACCGCTCAAGTGGTATGAGGTCAGAAGACAGCAATTCCTGTATCCCCAAACCCTACGAAATAGTAGGTTATGACCCCTTCATTAGAGGGCAGAACCCTTGAAAAGGTAGGTTTTCCGATCCCAAGGTTGTATCCCTCTCATACCACAGCATACCCCCCCAGACCCCACCCCGATTACCGAAGCCTGTGTCAATCGCACAGGAAATCCTAAGGAGCCGATTAAAATTCAGGCAACCCCCTTCCAAAAGCCTAACAATTTAAAGCCTAGTTATCCCCTCAGCCATGCTCCTTACCTCAGAGAGTCCGATACCCCATAATTTAGGATTACAGCCTATGAGTCAGAATATGAAGCCCCCTTATGGTTTAAGGTATATTCCTTAGTTAAGGGGTATTGGGCTTACTGGGACTGCGCCAGGAGATGGAGCTCCCAACCTGAACCATATAAACCCTACAAACATCCCTCAGCCATGCCCTTCACCGAGCCCTAAACCTAAACCCCGACGCGCTCCCTAAAAACTAAACATTAAGCCCCATCCCCTTTATCGAGCCAGAAGATGGATCTGGAGATTCACAAGATGAAGCCCCTTATAGTTTTAAGGTATATACTTCAATTAAGAGATATTGGGATGTGTTGAGCTTTCCGGGGTCGAGCCAGGAGCTGGGAGAGTTGGTCCTAAACCCTAAACCAAAAACCACAAAACCCTAAAATATCCTTTGCCCAGCCAGGAGATGGAGTTGTAGGTTCATAACATAAAGCCAATCATAGTTTAAGGTATAATGTAGGAACCTGATGAAGAAACCCCGGGCCTATAACCTAGGATTCATATAAGGAGCCCTAATAAAGGCCCAGGGTTTCTTAATCAGGTTCCTACATTATTCTTACCTTTGGTTAGTAGGGAATGGAGGAATGGGGTACACTTATAACTACTATTACGACCATTCTTCCATTCCCTACTAACCCAAGGTAAGTATTCCTATCGAGCCAGGAGATGCCGTTCGAGATTCATAAGATAAAGCCCCTTGTAGTTTAAAGGTATAGTGCTTACTTAAGAGGTATTGGGATGTATTGGGCTCTCTGGGATCGAGCCAGGAGCTAGGAATATGGCTTAAACCATATAGAGCTTCATAATTTGATTTATGCTATATTCACTAATTAAGCGGTGTTAAGGCTCTCTGGGCAGGAGATGGAGTTGGATTCCCTACTAACCAAAGGTAAGTATTAGACCCTAGTTCCTACATTATTAACTACATCATAGAACCGTTTAAGGAACCCTTACAGAACCCTTTACGGAACCCTTGTAGAACCCTTTAAGGAACTCTTGTGGAACCCTCTAAGGAACCCGAATTCGTATCGAGCCAGGAGATGGAGTTGGAGATTCTCGATCACCGACTCATGGCCTTCGAGCTCAGCCTCTCCAGCCTGCTCGACCAGGCCCTCTCTTTAGGGGTTTAGGGGTTTAGAGGTATCGGGTTTTAGGGGTTTAGAGGTTTAGGGGTTTGGGTTAGGGGTTAGGCTTCAGGGTTTGGGGCATGTGTTTGCGCTTTTTGGGAGGGAGAATGGACAGTTTCGGCTTTTTTGGGGGTAGGGTACATAGTGAGGACTTTAGAAAGGCTTCTGGAGGGGTTCTATCAGCCTTTTCGGTGGGGGTTGGTGGGTTGAGGGCTTTTAAGCGCTCTTGGGTTTAAAAGATGCATGGCTGTTTAGGGCTGTTTGGGTGTGAGTGTTCAGGGCTTCTTAGCAGTCGTTAGGTTTGTAGGTTTAGGCCTGAGTAGTGTGAAGGTGTAGGTTAGAAGGGGCCCCTACCCTGTAATAGTGGTATAATATAGGAATATAATAGGGCCCTAATATAATCCTTATAGTCATTATTACAGGGTGGGGGCCCCTTCTAAGGTGTAGGCCTTTCGGCTTTATGTTGTTGAAAGTTGTAGTACGGCTTTCGGGACTGTGGTTGGGATTAGGGGTTTAGCTTCAGTCTCCATTGTAGTTCCTTTTTTTGGCTTACAAAAATCTCTATGAAACTCTATTATAGGTTCCTAACCATAAAACTGGTTAGCCAAAAAATGGAATTACAATGGAGACTATAGGTAGCTTTAGTCTTAAAGGCTCGTCCTCCATCCCGGGGTTCCAGCAACTCACGTGAATATTGTGTTTCGGCTTAAGGGGGGCTAAGGGGGGCTTAAAGGGGGGCTTAAAGGGTGGCTTAAGGGGGGCTTAAAAGGGGACTTTTTTTCTACTTTGGGAGCAGGAGAGTTGTCGATAGTCAAGGACCGCAATATCCACCTCCTATGGATCGTAGAATCCTCAATGCAACGACCCCCCCATGAGAACTAGGTTGGGATTTGTAGATTTCCAATTAGTTTAGGTGTTTCAGTCTCCACGACCGCACGAGCCGATGGGATCCAAACCGCGAAATTTGCAAAGGCGGGCGCCCGCCCCCCCCCCTCCAAAAAAAAATCGAAATACATAAACCCCAGCGAAGATGTGACTAGGAACAAACGTACCCGGCGGGGCGGGAGGGTCAGGGTTTAGGGACTCCTAGATTCGGAGTCCCTTGCACGAGTAAACCCCTTAAGCCCTTTGGCCTCATCCGTAACCCCAAGCCTGCGAGCCTTCAACCCTGCACCATAGGCCGCATAGACTTAACAGGTCGCGCTTTCGTCCAAAAGTGCCGAGCGGAGCGGTCGGCTTCTTGAACTGGGGGTGCACTTGGCTGGTAAGGTTTGGGGATGAACCCTAAACCCTAAACCCTAAACCCTAAACCCTAAAAGTAGTGTTGCTGGTTGGGGCTGAGCAAGAAGGGGAAGAGTCGAAAACTTAGTGATTTAGTGCCTGGTGCTGCAAGCTGTTTGGCAGTTCCCTGTCTTTGGTCAACCGGCTAACGCAAAAGGGTCCACGTACCCAAATAGTAGGGTTTCAAGGTCTAAAAAAACCACTCAGTATGGATTTGGGAACCTAAAACCTTAGGCTAGTCGGACCCTTTGGGTAATTAAGCTACTTAGAGCAGTGGCTCACCGTCTATCTTAGATCCCCAAAAATCGCCAAACGCGAGTCCTAGTCCTACGGTTGATGATATAAATCGGGTCAATTACTGTAAGGTTTCTACAATGGCTCTAGAGGGTTTACCAAATACTTGTTGCTTCCGTTGTAGTTCGTTTTTTGGTTTAACCGAGTTCTATGGTTAAACCAAAAAAGGAACTACAATGGAGACCATAGGTAGTATGTACTTTGGCTTTCACCCCTAGGGAAGAAGAAGCAGTGGACATGCGATGTGCAGAACCTGTGGAGACCTTGATTTCTCAGGTCCGTGGCGGAACCTGCCAGTAGTTTCTACCATGTAATTCCAGAACGGTCTTAACATTCTTGCGAACCTCAGGTAGATTCTACAGCTGAGGACGGTTCAGGGGTTGCTGGATCTCTGCTTTCTTTGGATCAAAATGTTCTTGATGTGTGGAGCGTTCCGAGGGGCCACCGTCAACTGTTGCATGGGGCTACTTCATAGCCCAGCTATAGGCAGGCCCCACAAATCCCAAAGATGTTGAGACGACCCAAAGCACTGGAATTCTCCAGTCGAGGTGTCCTTTTGATAACTCTATGAAGCCTTCCCTACTTCAATACCGGCATGAAGGTTTATTGTGCCGGTCTTTAGCAGCTGCTCCCATATCCTCGGAGGATGCGTCTCCATCTTCTGCGTTTAAGCAGTGGGGCTCCGCCCCTCCTCTGAAGCCAAAACCTTGAAACCCCGAACGCCTTGCTTGCCTCAAGGTCTTCCACACGAGGACATCGCGCCACTGGTCCAGACCCGCACTTGGCTTCCATGGTTTCGGGAGGCGACAGGTTCGAGCTGATGTTTTTCGTTCGCGGATTAGTGGTAGAGTTGGTGGCCTTTAGCATTAACCTGTTTGGTTTACGTGCATAGTCCCTATCCAGCTATATATAATCAGAAGGTTGCTCTTCAAAGTTCTCCTAATCAGTTACCCGGACAACTTTCAGGATGTCTCTTAGAAAGTTCAAAATCCTAGTTTTGAGTGGAAGATACTTCCCAAAGGCTCCATGTACCTTTATAGTAGATACTTGAGCCTTAAAGGGGTCCCTATATAGGTACTTTAGGGCCAAAGTATATACTACACGGGTACATGGAGCCTTAGGGCTTCTTAGTTGTTGCGCAACCTAAGAATCCAGGACTTGGAGCCTTGTTCATGCTGTGGCACGGGGAGTTCAACAGTATAATACGCCAAACCCCAAACCCCCACACAAAATCGGATCCCTAACAGTCAATGGTATATCAAGCCAAACGCAAACCCCCACACACACACAAAATCGGATCCTTTAGAAGCGGCCCCCACCCTGTAATCGTGACTATAAGGATTATATTAGGGCCCTATATTATACTCCTATTATACCACGATTACAGGGGGGCCGGTTCAAACGGATCCTCAACAAGAAGCACCACCGAAGACGAGACTCTCGGAAGTCTGACCTCGATCCCACAGTCCGGAGATGGACTCAGGGCTCATGGTTGTGGACTGTTACCTTAAGGCTCGATGGACTCATATATGGTTTTTGGGCCCAAAGACCATAGCATATAAGGCTTTTGGGCTATTTTAAGCCCTAGGGTTAGGGGTCATGGGATGTCAGGGTTTTGAGGTGTAGTGTTTTCCACAGATCCGGTCTGTGCCAAGCTTGGCAATACACACTAACACCCTGTGAAATCGTTGAGACCGCTATTCCACAAGGCTCTGTAAACCCTAAACATCCCGAAACCCTAAACCCTGAGCCCAAAGACCTAAACCCTAAGCAAAGCCTTTTGAAGACTGTCGGATCTCTGAGGGTGCTGGAGGCCCACGGCCAGTCTCTGAGCTCGGGCATCTGCAGCTACTTGCACGAGGTCCGAGATCGGTTTCCAGACTTTTGTTGAGAGTTCTGGGGTTTGGGGTTGAAAGAATACGGAGGCTAAAAACAGAGGAACCGTTGCCCCAAAACCCCATTCCAATTAGGAAGGCCTCTTTTTGTTAGGCTCGGCGGCTAAGGGTCGCGGGAACCCCTAACGAGGCATCGACGTCCTAGGTAACGGAGCCCTAGACAAGGTGTGTTTTTCGGTTATCAAGCTTTGGGCTGTTGGGCTCCGATGTTGGGATGCCGGCAAGGTGGTTGAGGTGCCAGATCGGAAGGCGTCGTAGCAGCGGCATCGGCGGGGCAGTGCTCATGACCGAGCGCGCGTGTTTGCAAGACGGGGTCTTCACTTGCATGTAGGTACCCAAGCAGGGAATGCGTTCGCAGTTTGCTCAAGCAGAGTGGGAACCACTACAGCCTGCATCATTTCAGTGGCAAGATGTTTCCTTCGTCGTGGCCACGCGGCTCCCTGCACATTTCTGCAAGCTCTTGGAGCCCTTTGACCAATCGGCAGAGCTGTCGGTCGCAGACGCAGCAGCCTTTGCAAACAGGTTGGGGGCTTTCCATCATTGCCGTGGTCTGTTGGCCAGCCACTCGCTTGCAACAAGACACCGACAGATCGTGAGTAAAGTTAGACTGTCAGACGTGTTCGTCACAGTTTCTTCGGGTCGGGCCGATCGTGGTGGCGCTGGTGAAGATGCTGAGTATTCATCGACCACGCCTGAAGCCTACAAAACTGTCCATGGTGGGTAGTTGAGAATGCACGTTGCGAAATACTTACTTCCGTCTCCTGTTGTTTCCTTGCACTGTCCGAGAGACGAGATACTTGGAGGGTCGGGGGACTTAGTAAGTAGGTAGTAAGTAGACTTATAAGTACCCTAAAAGGGACCCGAATTGGGGTTATGGTACGTATAAGTCCTTAAAATAACCAGTTACTAAGTCCCCCGACCCTCCAAGTGGCCAACGATGGCAGGTACCAAGACTTCGACGTCGGACTGGGCTGCCTGTGGAGGCATCCAAAAGACGAGCCGAGCTGTTGGTGGACGCAGATCATTGTGGTTTACACCCAACCAACGCAGCCATCGAGCAGCTAAGGAGGGAAGGCTTCAGTGTTCATACCACTTGTTATGCTGCCCCAGGCAGAAGCGACAACAGGAAATGGCAAACGTTTTTTGAGCAGAGTGCAGTTTCCTTCAGCCCTACACCGCGAAAGCAAGACCGAGAAGCCAATGACACAGCCATTGAAGCAAAGCTGGTGCAATTGACTCAGTTGAAAGATGTCACTTGCATAGCTTTGTTGACAGGTGACACCGACTTTCTCGAACAGGTTGTGCAACACGCATCTTCTTGCAAAAAGGACATACGGGTTTTTGTCCCCATAGGCGGTGCCGCGTCTTTCCATGCTGCCTTCGAAAAGTACAAGGGAACTGATGCAATTGTTGTGCCTGTGGCTACATCTGCTGTACAAGCTGAACAACAACGGCTCGGTCGCGGCACGAAGGTTAGAGCTGTTTTGGAACCGGACGGGAATGGAGCTGTCAAGATGGCCGCGCACTGGTTGCATTCTGATGTTTCAGACGGTGTGGATCAACTCCGGGTTTTCCTGCAGGATCTTGGATATTGTGATGAGACGGAGAGAGCAAACCTTCTGCAGTCTGTGGCAAAGTTTTGGTTCGTGAACCGCCTGGGCCCCCTTACTGTTCATCCATCGCAGGCTGCATTTGGTGCAGCGTGCAAAGTTCTCCAGGCTTCTAGCCATCTCGGTTCGTGGGTTCGCTACCGCAACGACCATGCATTTTTCCTCCCCATAACGAATGATTTCAGAAGAACTGATCAGTTGCTCAAAGATTACGGAGGCAGGAGGTCAAAGAGAGTGTTCATGGGTGGAGGGCCGTTCATGATCCAGGACTCGGGAGACATCGTATCACAAGCTCTACGCAGGATGGGGTATTTGGATGAAGCTTTTAACCTCGACCTTCCCGAGGCCTTATTCGTATTTGTCAACCGACCAGATCACAAACACACCCTTCGAAAGTATTTTGATGCACTTCCTGCCCCCACCGACACTGCCGTCGACGTGGAGCAAATGATAAACAATGCTTTTTTATCAAACAGGACCTCCGGTCAATGGGTTCTTGCGCCGAGGGACACCGAGGTGCGAAAGACTTTGTGCAAACACGGATTCTTGGAAAACGTACAAGCTCCACGGGCGGAAGCACTACAAGCGATGCGGAGATTTGCACGCTGTCGCGGCTTGCGAGAGATGCGAAGCTACAACGGATATGTTTTCTACATCCAGCAGCATATGTACCACAAGGACCCTGACAGAGTTGGAAACATCGAGTTCAAGATCTGAGGCAGTTCCGTCTCGTGCAAACTCTTGACCTGCGTCGTCGCAGCATGGTTCAATTTCGTGGCTGTGCGCTCTGTTTGTGTATTCCGTTCATGGGCAGCCAGAGTCGTGCGGCTGGCCTTAAGTCGTCACAGGCCGAAGCACTCGCATTGGAGCGGTCATCTTACAGTTTGCACAGCACTGACTTCATCGTAGTTCGAGCCTCACCATGGGTTAAGCCACAAGATATAGACACAGTTATGTACGCGTATATACAAAGCATATATGTATAGATGTATATGTTCGGCCAGGGGATTACAGTAATTACGCCAGAACCGATTATTCGAAGTCAACTCCTCGCACGCATGACCACTTGAGAACTCATTGTTCTGAGAATTGGGCGACGGCCTGTAGAACGCGATTCAAATTTCAGGCGTGGAGGTTAGATCACATTAGGCTGGAAGTCCATGCTTGCTGGTTCGATGCTTGTCGTTGCTCCAACTCTGGAATGGTCGCTTCGAGTTCTAGACTATGCCTCGCCACATGGTCTCATCAAGTTGTATCTCTTCTACAAAAGGGTAGTTCTCTAAATGAAGATCCCATTTCAGATCCCCAAGATAGTACTTCACCCTTACACGCACACAGGGGTTTCTCCATACAAAGGATGCGTAAAGGCCAGCCTCAAGCGATTTCCGCCGAAGAACAGAGCCTTAAGGGTCCATGCATGTGACATACGTGTAGCACTTTATCTGCATTAAGCCTGTCAACTCTGAGAGTTGTGGTTTCGATGTTTTTCGCTTAGTAAGTTAACCAACGTACCTCGTGCACTCGGAAGCTTGCTACATAAAAGGTAAGGCAAAAGCCAGAAGCCATCTTACAGATTCCAGATAGGCGAATGGAAACTTAAGCACGAAACCCGGGTTCGCGTTTTCACATCGTCAATGTGGAGGGGTACAGTTCTCGACATCCTCCCATTGTCTGCCGCAGCTATCTCAACCAAGTGTCAGCTCTGTTCGCTTCAGGCCTTTCATATCCTTTCCGCCATGGCTCTCCGTTTGCTTCTCGGGCTTTTGGCGTTCGGCTCTGCGGATGCCAGCCTCCGTGGCCAGATTCAGGCCAGAAAGCACGAGGCATTAGAAACTCTATGGTTTGTTTGAGCTCCTGAAGAGTAGTGAGTAGTGTCATATGAGTTGTGTCTAGTCACGACGACGACTACTACTAGTCGTACAGCTACTACTATTGTTGCTAGTGCTACTTCTACTACTACTACTACTACTACTGCTACTACTACTACTACTACTACGGCTGCTACTACTACTACTACTACTACTGCTACTACTACTACTACTACTACTACTACGGCTACTACTACTACTACTACTACTACTACTACTACTACTACGGCTACTACTACTACTACTACTACTACTACTACTACTACTACCACCACAACCACGACAGCCGGTACCTTGCAGTACAGTATCGTTGATAGTTAGCTTGGCTGCGCTCGTTTTTTGCTATTATTATTTAGTCGCATGAATCGCAAGGAGAAGGCCCTGTAGCATACTAAGCTGAGAACCTTAGCCCCGCAGCTAGACTTAGACTCAAAGTCCTAATTCAATTATACACAAAGCCACATATTCTAAACAGAAGGAGCAGCCCTGGACCGGACGAAGCTTGGATACTCAGCTCGAACCAAATCGAGACTCTAAGCCCGACAGACATCATCGAGAATCGTCGGATCTTTCGGATGAAGTTGCTGGTCCATGTACCCAAATAGTATATACTTTGGCCTTAATGTAATTACTTGGCACATGGACCCTTAGGGTTTGTGATGCTTCGGCAGCTCTAGGTTATGGCTCTACTCGTAGCTGTCGTGCCCACGCACCCGAAGCCCTCAACGTACCGTTATCCCTGAGCATAATTTTTTGCTTCAAGCCCTCAACCCAAACCAGGCCGCAGCTGGATCCGTCAGTGCAGAGAAACTTCGCGAGACGGTGCTCTCAGAGGCCGTCGGTTCGCAGAAAACCGGCCGACAACCGACGACATGAACCTGAATACATTGAAGTTTAGGGGTTTGGGGTTTAGCGTTTGGGGTGTCTGCGCCGAGGTTAATGCTATTAGAGTTCTCTGGTGGGGGATGTGATGTTGATGCTTGCCATCTCCTTGTCGTGTTCCGGCCCTACGTTCTGAGCTTCAGAAGCCCTGGGTCCTTGCCTATTCTCTTAGACGTAAGCAGCGCAAGACACGTTTGATGCCTAACTCTACTAACTCTACACCCGAATCCCCAAACCCGAGACCCTAAACCGATGAACCCTAAACCCTAGACCGTAAACCCCTACACCCCTAAACCCCTTATGTTTATATTCGTATTGGCTGTAAACTCAACTTTTCAACTTTTGGGGTTCTTATACGGTAGTCGATTCTGAAAGTTTCAACTTATTTCCCCGAGTTTTAGGCAGTGAGTATTAGGCTCCTTAAAAAAGGAGGATCATCGGACGCAAGCCTCTGTAGACCAGCGTAGTTCAGCACATTTTCTTCTGAGAAGCCAGGTCGCATGCTTGACGGTGAACCTAAACCCTAAGCCCTAGAATCCCCATTTTACTGAGGGTAGTAAGACTACTCCAAGAGTCCGGATGTTCACGTTGATGTTGCCGGCATAG